ACAGGGGACACACCTGGGTGGGGACAGAGGGACAGGTGACACAGGGGACAGGGGACAGAAACACCTGGGGTGGGGACAGACAGGTGAGGGACAGGTGAGGGACACACCTGGGATGGGGACAGACAGGTGACACAGGGGACAGATGAGGGACACACCGGGGATGGGTACAGACAGGTGAGGGACACATGGGATAGGGGCAGAAACACCTGGGACAGGTGAGAAACAGGTGACGGACACATGGGATAGAGAGAGGAACACCTGGAAACAGGTGAGACACACCAGGGACAGGGACAGACACACCTGGGAGGGGGGAGACAGGTGAGGCACAGCCGGGGATGGACGGGCCTTAACCCTGAGCACACCTGGGAAGGCCCTGAACACACCTGAGACAGGTGAGGCAGGTGAGACACACCTGGGATGGGGCGGGGCTTAGTCCTGAATACACCTGGGACAGGCACAGGGACAGAATAGACCAGGGACAGGGACAGACACACCCGGGACAGGTGAGACACACCTGGGGGGGCGGGGCTTAGCCCTGGACACACCCGGGACAGGTACGAACACACCTGGGACTGGTGAGACACACTTGGAGGGGTCCCTGTCACACCCAGGACAGGTATGAACACACCTGGCTGCGCCCCGCCCTTAACCCCACCCCTTTAAGCCCCTCCCACCGCAGCCACACCCATTCTCTTAAAGCGACAGCGCCCGCCCATCCCCGCGCTCAGGATCCGCCCCCATCCCGGTGACCCCGCCCCTTTGTGGGCGTGTCCCCATCCCGGTGACCCCGCCCCTTTGTGGGCGTGTCCCCCCGCCCGCCGAGGCCCCGCCCACCTCGAAGAGCTCTCCGGGCCGCAGGTGGGAGCGGCTGAACACCAGCCCGTGGCAGTAGCCGGCCACGCGCGCCGCGCCCAGGCCCTCGGCCGCCAACGCCACGTTCTGACCACAGCGCCCGTGGAAGCGCTGGCACGGCCCGGGGGCTGCTGGGAGAAAGGGGCGGGGTCAGGGATGGG